GAACCACTGGAATTACACGAGCTGAGTTTTGCTTATTTCGATCTTGATATGGTTTCAAGGCTGAAACATGATACTTGCCGAGAATTTTGTCTGGTTCATGAGGATCGGCAATATCATAAGTGGTTGGAGATCTTGTAGTCACTATCACATAAGGACCATCTCTCTTGGGCATGAATTTAGCAGTTTTCTTCAGTGGACCTTTGCTGATTGGGTGGAGGGTGACCCAAACTTTATCTCCAGGAACGAATTTCGGTGTTTCTCTTCGTTTTTTGTCAGCATATCGTTTCTGCTTATCTTGATGCATTTCGACTCTTTCTCGTACCTGTTGTACATTTCTTGCAAAACGTTTCAAATATGGAGTAATTTCGGGAACAAAATTATCGTTCTCAATTACGGCTTTTATATCATGCTTTACATCATCTAAGGTTCGTAACTCTCGTGCAAATTGAAGAAAAGAAGCAGAATGTCCAGTTGAATCACATTTGGCTGTATTCAAAGCAAACCTTATTAATGGCAGTTTATCCTTCCATGACTGATGGTCGTTACCAACAAGTATTGCTAAACGTGGTTTCAGATCTCTATTCTTCCTTTCAACTGGGTTAGATTGTGGGTGATAGACAGGAGTAAGACTTTGATCAATGTTCAAGATATAGCATAGTTGTTGCATAACAGCACTAGTAAACTGGGTACCATTATCACTTATTATTTTTATTATTTTCCTGGGTAACCCAAATCGAAGGGCGACTTCCTCCAAAAGAATAGTGGCACATTCTCTGGCCGTGGCTTCCTTTAAAGCAAATAGTTCTGTCCACTTCGTAGCACAGTCCTGCACAATAAAAATCCATTTTTCACCAGACGGTGTTTCAGGAAGGGGACCGAAAAGATCAATTGACAAGGTCTCAAAACGTTGAGCATAGACTGGAGTTTGAAGTAAACCAGATGGCTTTTGATTAGTGGCTTCTCCCCTACTTTGAAGACAGTGTGATATTTGTTAAGCAATGCATCAGTTGCAAGCCGTTGGGCTGTAGTTAATTGCTGTCCTTCATTTTCTCGTAGTCGGCAGTTGTTTACAACAACTGGGGTTTTTCTTCCAGTACTTGGGATTGATGAGGTTTCACGAAGCTATATTTTCTTCGAGGTTCATCAGAAAAGTTCCACTTATTTTCAGCAAGATTTAAAACAATTTTAGCTTTTTGAAGAAAGTCAGTTCCTAACAGAGTCGAGTTATTTTTGGCATCAGGCAACACAAGGAGCGGAGTTTTGAACTCTCTGCCTTCGAGAAGAATGATTTGTTCGGTGCGAAGTACCTCTTTTTCAGATACCAAACCATCAGCGAAAGACACCTGTAGTGTTGTCTTTTCAAATACTGCATCTTGTTTTTGCAGAATATGATAGAGGGATTCACTTGCAATTGAGTGACTAGCACCAGTGTCGGCGAAAGCTGTACCGGAAACACCACCAATACTAATTGGAAATACAGCAGTCCGAGTGGAAGATAAACAGGATCGGATTTGGATAGTGCCAAAATTTGATGAATTTGAAGTCTTTGGGGGGTTACAGTCTGGACATTTAGACTTGATAAAACCAGTTTTTCCGCACCCATAGCATGTTAAAGGAGGTCGGTCGCTTTTCCTCTGTTTGTTGCTGACCACGATTTAAAAAGGTTTTATGAGTTCCCTGTATGTCACTTGTTCGATTTTCTACTTTGTGTTTGGATGGATTAGTCGGTTTGTAAGAATAGTTCCGCCTGCCAGGAAGTTCAGTTTTATAGTTCGTATTTTTAACACGTACAGCTTCATAATCATCCAATTTCTGTACTAATTCAGATGAACTCTTTATTTTTCCCCAAGTATCAATAAAATGCTCCTTAACGTCACTACTGACTCTTCTTTTAAGCTGATCCGTCAGGACCAAGTCTTTGAGTGATTCAAAGTCTGTAACATCGAGACTATGGAGCCACTCTTCGAGATAATTGTTTAATTCGTAAGTAAAATCTTTCCATAAAGACCCAGGGTGTTTTTGGGTGTGTAGTAAGTTTAATTCGAAATGATTCAGCATTTAATTTGAATCTTTGTAGCAGAATCTTCTTGATGTAAGAATAATCTTCTAATTTGTCTTTTGGTTCTCTTAAAATAATTTGCGAAATGTCTATAGGCAGAAGAGGTAGGAGATGAGTGATGTAATCTATTTGTTTTATATTAACTTTCTCACATTGTCTTTCAAAAATTTGCAGGTAGGTTGCAATGTCAGAAGTTCCTGTAAATTTAGGGATTAGGTGTTGAATATTTGTTCCAATAGCTGCATTTGAAGCAAAGGCGGCATAGTTAGGGTTTGAGCTAGCAGCTGCCAGGTTTAATTTTAAACGTTCCAATTCTAATAAAAGTTCTTGTTCTTTTCTTTGACGTGTCTCCAGATCGTTGCTTTCACGTTGTTTTTGTTGTCTAGTTTCGATTAAAGTTTCCAGAAGATTCCTGGTAAAAGCCTCATCATAAGTGTCAGAATTGACAATAAGATCTTTAAGATCTATTACTCGCATAGTGTCGTTTACAGTGAAACCCAGTTCTGCAGCGAGAGTTTTTAAATCCTCTTTTCGTGCTTTGGCAAGGTAAGCCATAATTATATGAGAGGTCAGGGGGGAGGGAAAAGATGAAGTTGAATTTGTTGTTATTTCGATTTTATTCACAATACAGTATTTTAGAATTAATAATTATACCTTTAAGTAAAATGTATATACCTCTATTAAACAGCATGTATGAATGTAAACAATGTTACTCGTACATTTATATACCACTATTAAACAGTATTTATAAATGTAAACAATAATACTCACAAAGTTTATTATTTCGGAGTCGTAAAAAATATCATAAAATGCCCTCATAAATTCAACTTGTATCAAGAAAATAACATATAATAAATTGCTCAAAAATTGTTTACTACTTAGCAAAACATACAAAACATACATAAATGTCTTACCATAAGCTTTTATATTTAAGCTGAATTCTTCGAAATCTTAATCTTAACAAAATATTAAGCTGATTAAGCAACACACACTTAGTAACTCTTTTACTTTATTTAAATAGTCATTCGATTTTATTCATAATTATTTTCTTTCGCTTCAAGAAATATTTTTTTTAAGACATGCATTCATTAATTAAAGGAAACAATCGTATTTTTAAAGTATTATACTATAATCATTTTCTCAAAATGTTCGTCGAAAGATAAATCAACAAGTACAATATTTTATTTTATGTAGAATAAAACATTTAATAAGGAACAACAGCACTCAAAGGAAATAAAAATAATAAAAGATTTGACGTAAACACATCATAAATCATCGCTAGTCTAAACATTTCCGCGGGGGGAAAACATCTGCTGCTGTATGTCAGAAGCGAAACTAATAAATTCTAATGAACAACGTCCATGAATATATTCAAACTTTAACATCAAAACATGTATTCAGTGAAACAATATTATTCACAAATTAATTTACTATGCGCATTAACATTTTAAAATAACAAATTACAATTCAAGAAATAACGTTTGGTTAACAGAAAGCCGTTTGCTTTCGTTTAATACTCTTATGTAGTATCAATAAATGAGATTTCAGTAAAGAATTTACATTTGCTTTAAGAAGCAGCTTATAATAAATAATCAGTTTAAAAGAACTTTAAACTCAGATTAAACGATAATGTAAACGAAACTTATCTTTTCCGTTGAAATTGTCCAGTTGATGATTCGATGTGCTAGCAGCACGGTATGACAATTTTAATTCCAGAATTGGTTTCCAGAATATTTGACCAGTAGTCCACACCTGAAAAGAAACTGAGCCGATCTCCAGCAACTAAAAGTTAAATTCGGGAGTAAGAGCTTGTTAAAGCCAAACAGAAATTCTAAACATTTTGTTGCGCCATTTTGGATTCAAATTTAGTTGGGCGCCAATGTGATGTAGCCGTTCCTCAATAGACACTAATGCCGGCTAGCTTTAAAAGGATTTATTAACAGAGCACACAGGAACGGTTACAAACAAAAGAAATATACATAAAAAATGAAACATATACCAAATGGAACATCAAACATTGAGAATAACATAACATAGTAAGCTATCATCATGGCGGCTGGAGGTCGACTGACGTTTTTTCATATCGCCACGAGATGGCGTTTAAATAAAATAGTTCGGTTACAGTTCATGAGTTCATGGCGTGAATAAAATAGTTCAATTACACTTAAATAGGTCTGTTACACAAAAACCACGTAACCTTCGCAGCTCCTTAAGTGGATTTGATTTTAAAAAAGTATTAGGCTAGGAAAAATTTGAAATAACTTATCTTTTTTGTGGCACTGATGAAAGATCGTGTAACGGCATGTTCATGATGACATGAAGCGAAGAAACAAGATACAACTCTAGTTGTCCTAGATTATAGGTGAACCCAGTCTGGGCACACTTAGGGTTCGCCGTTTGATTTTAGGCAATATTTCAAGGTAAAAATTTAAAACTAATATAGAATAAGGAGATTAGCATACAGCCAAAAAAGTAACATAGAAATTTCTTTTCAAACAATTCCTTTTAGACCCTAAAACAAAGTCTGGGAGATTTCTTTGAAAAATGAGGGTCTTAAAAAACTAAACATGGCTAAAATATATGGACTGGTTTGTGTTGAGCTGCCATCTACTATAAAAAAAAGAAGGTTCAGAGTACCTATAATAACCTATAAATCCTTTTTCATTTCAATTTTTCTGTGCGTACAGAAGGAAATTTTTAGGTGTGTCCAGACCGGAACACTGTGCCGCAAAGGGTTAACCCCTTTGGACGTAATTTAAAATCTGAAACCTTTCAGATTTTTTTTTGTTGTTGTTGTTGTTTGTTCTTAGCGCTGTATACCATCTAACATCAAATTTAATATAATAAATCTTCTAAGTGCTTGATAAAAAGCTTATAGTTTTAAACATTTTTCCCAATTATATTTATTTCCTTTTGTGCTAAGTATATATTTTATTTTCAGGGACTCCCTGGTCATTTAGTAATTGCAATTGCTGCAGCTGCTCTTGGTTCCTCTTTCCAGCATGGTTATAACACAGGCGTTGTCAATGCTCCACAAGCAGTGAGTATACATTTCTTAATATTTCAATGGCTTAATTAGATAAAATTAATTATTCATGCCAAAATAAAAAACCGAAATGTCAATTTTTTTTTACAATGCATTCTGAATTATGAATAATTCATAACTTTTTAAAGTTGTTTTATATGAGTGAAACTTTTGCTGATAAAGCAAAACTATGCATTAAGATAAATTATTATGTAATGCACATATAAAGAAAAATGGCACTTATTTATAAATATTCGCAATGAAGTTGATATACAGTTTCAAAATATTCGGGAACTAAAATTTTTTCATGTAACATTTGAAAGCTGTCTTAAGTTCTTTCAAATTCTAAATCGCGAAAAGTCCTCCACGAAGGCATACCTCCCCTTAGGCAGATAGCCCTAGTGTGCTTTGACATAATTAAATACACCACACCACCACCGCCACCACCATTTAAATCGCGAAGAAATGGGCTTTTCCTTTCAATTTTATTCAAGTCCATTTAGTTCTGTTATTGAACTATTTTCTTGCATAATAGTAAGTTTTTTATACTTTACTAAATATTTGCCTCATTAAAGCAAATTCTAAATATTAAATATCCCATATGTAGCCGAAAAACTGACTAATACTGAATTTCCTCTGGGGCAAACTTGATTTCTAAAATCGAACGTTCTTAAAAATCTTAAATTAAGGTAGCATTAAGTCTTAAATTAGGTATAATTTAATACGCCTTACAAGGAAGTAATTGTGTCTGCATCAGATATTTTTAGCAATGCGTTAAATATTGTATATATTTTAATATTGTGTGTTATAAATATGTGTTATGTTTGATGAATTCGATTGGTTTTGTATTAAGAATAAGAACTTGCATACAAAGTGTAATTTCCTAAGCAGTTACTTGGAATCCGAGACAGGGTTAATGCATTTTAAATTAATTCCTTAAGAGGAAATTTGTTTCAATTTACAAATATTTGGCATCTTCAAGAATGAATTAAGTTCGTGAATCAAAGTTTCACTGTACTTTTTGTTTAGTAGTATAGTCATTTTCCCACTCACTTGTTATACTATTTAATTAATGAAATTATGTTAACTAACTGAAATTTAAAACAGAAATTTAATTTTCCGCTTCGATCATGGTCTAAAAAACAACTATGAACAAATGCTAAATAATCCGATGAGAATAATAATTTCGAAGGCAGGCTTTGGCTTTAGTGTCTTAAGATGTACAGAACTTACATACATTTTTACCCACGAGACCAAATGAATGGTTGAAATTTTGTGAATTTTAATTGCATGTTAATCTAACTACCCATTAAAAAAAAATTATCGTTTATGCAACTTAAAAGTTTAACTTCACTGGGAATCAAGACTCTAGCAGTCTCAAAATTAGTTGTCAAAGAGTTTATATAAAAATGCGGAAAATTCTTTACCACGTTTAGAATATAGCGTTTATTAGTTGCGAAATTAATTGTATAAAATTTGTGAAGTGTATGTAATATTTATGTTGTAAAAACATTTACTGCGTATAGTAAATGCTGTAACATATTCCAGAGGTTTTCAAGTAATTTTCTAAGCATCAGTGTTAAAAGTGTAGATGGAACAGATTTTCTTAGGGAGTCCCAACCTAAAAGTAACAGAAAGGCATTTACTATTGTAAAGTATTCATTCATCTGAGTCATGTTTTTAAACATTTTCTTTACATCCCGGAATGTGTGCATTGACCTACAGCCCTTTTCTTGCTACTACGAATTGGCAACGTGCCACCTGCGCTTCATCCAGGATTAAAGTAGGTTGATAAACTGAATATTTTAACTTGCATCCTCAATTTCATTTTCCAATAAAGCTAATTACAAAAATGATGCCATCATTAATATGTGTCGCTCAATAAAAATATAAGTTTTATCGCATAAAATATTTTCTTAATATTTCGCATAACTTAAAAGAAAATGTCACTTGTTTACTGCTCGATATTGCATCATACTTCGCACAAAGACCAATTCACAACTTGTGAACAGCTCTTTCAGGTAAATGAAGCTCATATTCCTCTGTTTGACCATAAGAATCTTTACGATTTGCTCCTTGCGAAATGTGGATACAAGCCAATTTTCCTCAAAAAAATTCCCCCTAAAGCATCTTTCCCTTTAAGCAGATAACTCTTGCATGATTTGCCATAATCTAAATAAACCTAACTTTAATGGTCAAGCCTCCAGCCAAGCGGCCGCAGGGTAAAATAGCTGAACACTGGTATTTCCGATATGAAGTTCGATTCTAGCAAACTGCAAGGGCGGTTTCGTGGATTCCCCTTCGTGTAGCATGGGTATGAGCCAGTTTCCCTTAGACAGTCCTCCTCAAAGGCATCATTTCGCTTAGGCAGATAGCCTTAGTGTGCTTTGCCATAATCAACCAAACCAAACCAGCCAACTAAAGTGCTGAACCGAACTCTTAAAAATAATATAAAAATTTAGTTCATTATGGTACGCTGGAAAAATAAACTACGCTTTTTGCATATATTATAACAGCTATACAGATATATACATCAAAGATGCGAGCAGAATATGTATAGTTCAAAATGAAAGGGGGCAAAAATAAAATATATTTGCGATTACTGTGTTAAATTTATTTCCAGTACTCATTTGGTAACACCGAAAAGCTAAAATGCCCAATAAGGTGGTATTAGCGAATAATGTTTCTTGAATGCTAGAAATACGCAAATAATTCATCGGTGGTTGCTATGACATTTGTTATATTGTCTACTTACATGATTTACTTGGATTTGTGCAACATTTCCCATTGCGTAAATCATTAGTCTCAGTCTGGAACCTCTGACAACAGTTGGGGATCTTTTCTACAGATGTCACCTAGGTATTTCTAGGCTCATATTGCTAGAAAAGACGAGTTTGTCAGCTTTATAAATTTGTTCTGGAGATAATTTTTCACCGTTAACGAGTTTGGTGAATTCATCTGCAAAATATTCAGGTGTTTATGTACCAGCTGAAGCTTTTTCACCTGAAATTTTTGGCTACTTAAGTACTAGATGGTGATTTTTACTTCCCTGCACGAAGTAAAGGAAATATTGTAATTATGAAAAATTTCGGGTATCATATTTCAACGAAAATGTCCATTTGAGCGATTATTTTTTGTCTGTATGTACAGACAGAAGATAAAACTCTTTTTTCTGAAACAATGATCCACTCGGAATTTCGTAATGAAGTAGCACGAATGCTTTTCGTGGTTGATGCATGGGCGTTTGCTGCCTTTTCTGTTGCAGTTCTTCTCTTCAAATTAGTGTTTTATTCACCTTGTGATGATGTGAGGAAAATGAATTTAACAAATCTGGGGCAAAAGATGTCTCTGAACTGCAGTTACTGATGAAGTTTTTGCATGCTCTACTACAAAAATATTTTGTTTCGCTGATGATGTCACTTGGATTGTTATCATCGTAAGCTTTTCGGAAAAGGTGAGATTTTGAATTTTGCCAAATACAAACTGGGAAGTAATACTTTCATATTATGTCGGTATTTGTAAAATGAATTCGTTTAACAGCCACTGGTATGTTTTCTTTTGCTTCATCCGTCCCTCCCGGGGACGCCACTGCCTAGGTACAGATCGTAGCCAGTACCTTCGCAGAGTTCTCTACGGGGTATAAAATTTATGAACTTGCTGGTTCTGAAGGCTCCGGGAAAGGTCACTTATTGGCCGGCCGGCCTCGGGGTCTGGCACGTTCTAGCGCGGCGTAGAACTGGTAGCCCGGGGGATTTTACCCTAGGTACTAGTCCTCCCGGATTACCCCCCGGGTACGCTGGGTAATGACCCGCTGCGACGGGCAGCTCGAGCGACTGGTGGGTAACAAATAACGACTAGTGCCGGGCAGCACCTGGGCGGTGCGCCTCCCTCTCTAAGGGGCCAGAAAGGAGGTTGAACCTCCGAGTCTGGTTCTAAGGAGTGGGGGAACCTGTAGTGCAACTACCTGAGTTGCGGAGCAGAAAATGCCATTAATTGTTGTTGTTTACTTCATATTATGGTTGTGCTAAAAAAAAGTGATAAAGTTTGGCGACCTTTTAACTAAATGCTGTTAAATTAAGGAATTTTGAAAGATTTCCTTAAAATTACCGATGTCTACCAGTGTATTCATCAATATCTTACCAATAAACACTGATGGCTTTTGTAAATAGCTATAAAATTTTTTAAAATAACTGTACGTAATATTGCATACCCATTTAGGATTGATATTTCTACATCAGTATCTTTCTTACAGTCATAGCGTGAGAAAATTCTCCCAAGAAGGAAGCTATGAATTTTGTAAATTATCTCGCATTCAAGAAATTAAAACCCGGAAGATTCCGAACTGTTTAACTTTCATCAAGTACGTCACAGATCTTCCCGTACATCCGATGGTCTTTGTTATTAGCCTGGAAAACATCTTTCTCTTAGACTTACTCATATTTATTGGAACTACGAATGCATTTTGCACTGAAATGAAATAATTTCTGTGAGTAACAACTAAAACTAAACTAAACATAGTGGCACAACAGACCTAGTGGGCAAGCAGCCCTAGTGGACCAAGGATCGTGGGCCCCGGGGTGCGTAAGTATATTTCCTGAACAAGTAGTCAGCTTGTCACAGGGATCCCAGTGTTTAGTCCCCAAGCGAAGTTGGTACTCATTTTATCGACCCAAGGAATGAAAAGCTGAGTTGACCTTGCCCATCCCGGGTATCGAACCCCGGACCTGTGGTACTGCTGCTGCGCTAGCCGCTGCGCCACCGGGCCTGTGCGTTACTACTTTGTTTCTTAAATATTAGTTAAAAAATGGTATTTGTTATGTTTACCCACGATCAAAGCTCTAATAGGAAAATGTCGCCAAGTTTAGGCATCATTTCCTCCATTTTCCGAAGAAAAATAACACTTTTAAATGATAAAAGTTTTAAGAGACATGACCAAAAAAAAAAGTTTTCCCCCAAAATACAAATTTCTGCTTTGAAAAATTGTAATTTATTTCTCAAGTGGTTATAGATCAGTAACAGTAGTTTACCAATGTCAGGAATAAGATTTTTGTAGCAGTGAACCAACTGCCAAAACTAATTTCTTTTTCTGGAATTTTTCGCAATGTATTTCCCATATGACTTTCGAAATGGTATACAATTTCCTTTCATTCCTATTTACGCAAATTCGGGTAGAGGACCCTTTCTTGAAGAATTCAGAATCTTCATTTTTACTTGATGTTAAATTGAAAATATTTATCAATTTGAGTCTGCAAAAACAATTTCTTATTGAGAAAAAATTGTTACTTGCTTTTAGTTTTTTTTATATCGTTTGGAAATGAATGCAGTCAAATTTCACGATTAATTCGCTAGTCGCCGAAACCAGTAAGTACCGTAAAAATAATTTTATTCCTAGCATTATAAGATTCAGTGATACCATTTATGCTCGAGTTTCCCTCACACTAATTGAACTTTAATAAAATATCTATGTTTAAATACTTTTGAAAAAAGATAAACTGAATTGCCATTTCTCTATATTTATTGTTAAATTTAAATTCCATTTCGGTACTATTCCGTTTTGAGGACCGTAAAAAATCGCCAAACTATTGTTGATGCCAGTGCTGCCAAAATTAATTGCGGCAACCCTAACGTAAGAAAGGAAGTATAATAGTAAATAACTATTTGTAGATTATTGCTTTAATTAATATAAAAGATTAATTTCGTATAATACTTTTTATTATTATAATTTATGTAAAAAAGGCTAAGCATAACTGAATGGATTCCTGAATCGCTATTTCGTTACCGAGTTAATGCTAGAGCATAATTTCATCTCATTGGTTGTTCAAACATAATTTTCTATAATAAAAATTATCCTTTTCTTTGAAAAAATTCTATTTCAAACTTTTCTTCATGGGCAATTCCCAAATTGTTAAATCCATAGAATATCAAAAAAGGATTTAAAAGTTAAACTAGTATGTCAATTGCGTCTTAAGAAATATAGAACTATCTAAACTTACGCAATTTGAAATCAGCGCGTACGCTAGATTTGGCCGGGCTGTTAAATAGGCGCGTTTGCTAGGTTTGGCGCTTTTGCACATATATTTTCGCTGCAATTTTTTACGGTCCTCAAAACGGAGTAGTACCTTAATTTCTCTCAATTAATCTATTTTGAATTAATAGGTTATCGAGAAATTTATCACCGATACTTACTTTGCAAAGTACAACGAAATGCCAACAACATCTGTGGTTACCGTCATCTTTTCGCTAATGGTGTCTGTCTTTTGTCTCGGGGGTATGATTGGTGCTCTGGGTACAGCTTTCTTGGCAGAGAAATTTGGTCGCAAAGGTGGACTTCTTTTGAACAATATTTTGGTCTTCATAGCAGCAGCACTGATGGGGTTCGGAAAAATGGCCAAATCTTATGAAATGTTGATTGTAGGAAGATTCGTAATAGGATTAAATTCTGGTAAGTAAGAGTACTTTTTTAAGATGACATTTTTTAAGGAATTTATACACACGCTGTTTCAAAAAGGGTGCAATATAAAACATTTTTTGAACGTTGATCATAAACCGATGGCCCCAAAGAAATTCTCCTAACAAAGTAGACTTTCAAATCTTGAATTATGTGACATAGTTTAGTAAAAATATATGCGCAACTTAAATTTTTATATATTTATACTTCGGGTGATGGTCCGAGGACTCCCACCCTGCCACCAAGCCCCACTAGGGGACTTCAGACTCGCCATATAGTATACCCATGTTGTAAAGACACTATATACTTGCAAATATTCTATGCCTTTTCCGGAATTCGAACCCGGGTCCTCACTCATCAGAATCACTAACCACTATTCCGTAGGGTGGTTATAAGAAAAGTATTCATTAGTTTGTTAAATGTACTAAAACAAAAGTTGCTGGGAATTCTGTGCCTTATAAGTAATGCTGAGGTTGAGGTTTTTGGTTAAATTTGAATTATGGTGAATTTTTTAATATAATATTTTTATTATTTGTTCATTTGTCCATGGCAGAGCCTCGACTATTCATATCGAATGGACATGGAATGCTTCGGGATAATCGATTTCTATTTTAAAAATGATTAATAGTACAGCATTTATTCTTGAACACCACGTTACTTGCATTTACAAAATGAAAATTTTATTTTGAAGAATTATGCATTTTATTTCGAAATTAAAATTCAGGTTTCACAAAATAAAGAGTGGGAAAAATTTATATCAATGCAAAATACAGCCGATCATCTAACTTAAGACTTTTCTTACAGTACAATCAGCATTTAACGCACATGTTATTTCACCTTTCGCCAGAAGTAAAAAATAAAGTAAGTAACGTAAGTGACGAAGTAAAAAGTAACGGTAGCAGAGAAGGACTGGTAATGAAACAGTGATTGCATGGTTAAAACTTTAAATTCGAGAGCTAAATTATCGAATATATTAGAAAAAACACGATCGGATGAGTTTGGGAAATTTACCTTTCTATACATACAGTGGATGGACAAAAATATGGAAACACCTTGTGAAATGCATGTTTGAAAAGAAAGATTGATTTTAATGAAATATGTAGGTGGCGCTGGCGTTTTTGACTACTGACGCCACCTATACAACTTCGTAAATGTGCTAAACAGTTCAGTTGTTGTCGGAGTACTGTTATGTGAGGTTGTCATTGCATTATGTCAGAGTTAACAGACTCCGAACGTGGGCAAATTGTTGGAGCACGTATGGTAGGTGCTTCCGTAAGCAAGGTAGCCGAGGTGTTTAGTGTTTCAAGAGGTACTGTATCGAAGATTTATTCCGCATATTTGAAAATTGGAAAAACATCTGCTAAATCACAGCGCGGACGAAAGTGTCCTGAGTGATCGTGGCAGACGATCATTAAGGGCAATTGTGACAAAAAATAAGAAGACCACAGCTGCAAAAGTTACTGCTGAAATGAATGTTGTGTTACCGAACCCTGTGAGTACCAAAACAGTTAGACGGGAGCTTCATAAACAGGGAATTGCTGGCCGTGCTGCGATTGAGAAGCCACTCATCAGTGATGCTAATGCCCGTAACAGGAAAAGGGGGTGTTTAAGTCATAAAGCCTGGACTATAGCGCAGTGGAAGCGAGTAATATGGTCTGACGAGTCTTCTTTCACATTGTTTCCCACTTCTGGCCGAGTTTATGTCTGGAGAACGCCATCTCAAGCCTATAATACAGACTGCTTGTTGCCAAGAGTGAAACATGGCGGTGGTTCTGTTATGGTTTGGGCAGCCATATCGTGGTTCTCTGCTAGCCCCATGATAACTGTGTCAGGGCACATGACTGCCAAGACTTATGTGAACATTTTGGCCGATCAAGTTCATCCCATGGTACAAACTTTGTTCCCAGATGGTGATGGCGTCTTCCAAGACGACAAAGCCCCTGTTCTCACAGATCACATTGTCCAGGACTGGTTTTCTGAGCACGAGGATGAGTTGTCCCATCTCCCCTGGCCACCACAGTCATCAGACCTGAATATTATCGAACCTTTGTGGTCTACATTGGAATGGAAAGTGCGTTCTCGTTATCCACCGCCAACATCGTTATCTGAACTTGCCACCGTTTTGCAGGAAGAATGGTATAATATTCCCTTGGCAAACATACAGGAACTGTATTTATCCATTCCGAGAAGACTGCAAGCTGTTTTGGATGCCAACGGGTTTCCTACACCATATTAAGCAAAGAAACATGTTTTTTAGAGGTGTTTCCATAGTGTATAGTCCAACCCCTGTATATTATTTCCTGTAATCTTCTCCGACATCTATGAGAATATATTTTAAGGAGTTGTGGATATCTGACGGTTGTAAACAGAAACAAGTCATGTAGACTTTTCCCTTTAAATCTTAATTTTATGGAAAGATTAATCTTATGAAAACTATTATAAACTGAAATCATCGCAATCAATGTTCACGATTATAGTGTAAATATTTTTAAATATTTGTATATAGTTCATTATTTACATAGTGTATAGTTTTATTTTGCATTTTATGTATTTTTTATAATTTATATTACACCGAATGCATTTTTTGGGTATTCTGCATTTTTAGATTTTGCGCAATTATATACTTATTACTTTAAATTATACTTTCAATACTACTACTAATAATACTTTAAATTAATTTATTGTTTTCCAGTGCCTGCAATTCTAAGTGTGTTACTGTTAAAAATTTTTTAAAAATAGATGATGAAAATTAGTAACCTATTTAGTCTTCGTGACCTAAGCTACAAACTTCTTTGTCAAAATGCCGACCTAGCATGGTAATTTATTTTAATTTTCTGCAAAATTTTTTCAGCCTTTAAGAGCCAAGTTTCTGTGTTAGCGTGAAAAACTCCTTTTTTTTCCCTGAGAATTCTGATAGTCCACATTGCGTCCCGATGAAAAGGCATTCGGCCAGTTTAGGCTACAGTCACAAAGAATTTAACTACTTTTTATCAGTCCTGGTTCACTGAGTGAATTTTCAACTAATCTGCTGCATCTTTAGAACGATAAATTTATGAATTTTTGATGGCATGCGATCCTAAAATTTATGGATCGAATTTGCGAGTTTCAAGGATTTTAGTGTTATCTTGGCATTGCTTAAGCTATATTTCGCTATTAGTTCCTCCTTATATTAATTTTCTATCGGTTATACTTATAATGAAGGCATTTAGGTACTTGCATATTAACACAACTACATTTGCGCAATTTGGCGGTTTTTTACAGAGGAAAAAGATTGATGACATAAGTCATCATACTTTTTATATAATTAATGACGTTAGGCATTAGTCATCCTTCAATTCAGTTACAAATATTTACTTATTACATATATAAATATTATTATGGCTAATCTTTAGAATATGGTAACAGGTAGTTTGGCGACATTTTGCTAAGGCGATAAACGTTGCTAGCTAGGACTTTAGCAATAATCTGAGAGTACACAGCTCGAATCACAAATTATTTTGTCTCAGAGAAATGAGAGATCATGAGACATGTCATGTGACATTTTCCGGAAAATTCCAATGGGGATTTTAGCAAATAAGCACTCAGAAACAATTTCGCTGCTGAAGTGCAGAATCGCCCACTTATTTGTTTGGCGCCTTTTACAAGAGTAAGAAGAACTGGATTTTTGTCAATTTTCTTTGACTTTTTAAGTGAAAATAGGTCGATGTGTACATGGATAAAGTTAAGAGTGTGCGCAATGCCATTTGTGCAATTCTGGGATGATTTTTTAAGTGAAAATAGGTCGACGTGTACATGGATACCGTGTATATGCAATTCTTAAAAACGCGGCAAGCAGTGGACGATTCTACACTTTCTCCCAATTTCGCACCTAATCTGCGTCATGATTAAGCACTTTTGTTCCATAAAAGTTCTAGCATAAGCGTAATTCGGCTAGCAGATTGTTGGAAAGAAATGTTAAGTAAAAAAAAAAAAAAAAAAAAAAAAAAAAAAAAAAAAAAAAAAAAAAAAAAAGCCTTTACTTCATGAAAACAAAATGGCGTCCCCAAGAAAAAAAACAAGCAGGTTGCTGTAGCAGGGTTGGTCGCCAAAGTTTCGCCAAAAAATCGCCAAGTTACCATAATATAAAGATTCACCATTATTATTTATAACATTTATTATAATATATTTAATATTCCAATCCCTTGGAATCACTTGGAACATACCCCCAAGTAATTGCTGTACCAAAAATTGTTTACCCAAAATAAGAAGAAACTCGCTATCAATTTAATGTTTTGTTCTGACAAAAAAAACCTCCCATAACCGACGCTGAGAATCCTGCTAGCCACCCCTTTTTTTGTGTGTGTTAGAGAAAACCTGATTAAATCGAATTTAAAGCTAAGCTTTTTTAATATTTCTTTGAGCGCATAAAACCTTTAGACGGAAATGAATCATTTTCATACTATGCCTAATTTATATATCTTTGGAGGAATCAAACACTCGTGGCCATATTTAATATTTGCACATCTTCATCAAAGACAATAAGTTTCACGAATAAAACGCAAAAATGCATTCCAAATTTCAGATTTTCCATCGCAAGTTTCAAAATTTTCCAGCAAACATCTTCTTTCCCCCCCCCATAAAATTGGAAAATTAATTAAACGTTTCAAGTAATATTTTGTTTCTGTGTAAAGTTAAAATTATTGTCTTATTTTCCCATTACTATATCCAATATACTTGATATATCTGCCACTGTTGAACTTTTCCTGTTGCAATGTCAAAGAATTTTATTTATTTATCAAAAGTGTTCACAAATGAACTTTGTGGGATAATTGCTTTTCGGTTTAGCTCGGAATTTATATAGCATTATTTTATTCTTTTCCATTATGTTTTTGAAAATAAAAATTTATCAAAAATTCAGACTATTTGGGGGGATTTGGGAGAAGAATTAAATGCTATCTATATTAAAGCGAGATGTGAAACATCTTGCAAATCACACAAAACTGTATGTAAAACATCTGTGGAAGGTATGGCCGCTTGCATAACATTCGTCTTATATTTACCCTTTATTCACGAAAATCAGGAAATAGATTCTCACGAAAGTAAAATTCTTGTCGGCAGCTAGCTTAAATCCATTCTGTGCAAGAGCCAGTAAATAATGTGTAATAAAAAGCTTCACGCATGTCGATGCTAAGATAATTTTAGCTTCGAGCAACAGTGTGCAGACAAAAAGCTTTCATGTAAAATGTGCAAGAAGGCTTATTAATTTATCTGTTTGTTACCTAAAATAAAATAAACCGAAGAGAATAATGTAATAAAATATATGCTAAAATGCATTTTCTTCAACTAAATACTGGTCAGATTTACTGTTCAAAAAAGGCCATAGGCCATGCCTGTTCTGCAGTGTTAGCTCTTTGCAAACATTTCTCTATTTTAAATTAATGCACATATTTTACTTTCATTCAGCTAAGAAATATTTTGTCATGAGATAACCTAGATGATAAAATTTATTTAATTTAACGTTATTGATATAATTTAGTTTTTCGCAAATAAATTTAATTTTCTTATATTGTTTTGTGTCCTTTAAGTTCTAACATTGTTATTTAGGTGAATAATATTCTGACATAACTAAACATTATATAAAATACAATATATTCCTTATGCATTATTAATTTTCTAGCTCATTTTTGTAACTGTTTTTTTTATTATGCAATTCCAAGGTCTGAATGCTGGCTTAGCTCCAATGTACCTGACGGAAATATCTCCAATTCATTTGCGAGGAGCAGTTGGCACCATATACCAGTTGATTATAGCATTTTCAATCTTAATATCTCAAATATTTGGAATGCCCGAAGTATTAGGAACAGAAGAAGCATGGCCAATTCTTTTTGGTAAGATTTTTGGAAATAGTTTAGGTGTTCTTTGGTATCGATAACCAATTTGAAACTTTCAAAACCAAAAGCATTTACTATTGAGAAATCGGTAATTAAAACACTAATAAGTAGCTTATTAACTTGTTTTGAACTTTGTTTAAATATTATAAACATGATTTTAGAACGTTAAACTTTTATTATTTTTTAATATGATTTAACATTTATATTGTGTATTTAAACAGGGCTGATCATTGTGCCATCTGTATTCATGCTGGTGACATTGCCCTTATGTCCAGAGTCGCCTAAGTACATTCTTATAAACCAGGGTAAAGATGTTGCAGCACAGAAGGGTGAGAATTCCCAGAATATCTTTACATAATATATTTTTACATTCTTGTATATAGGTACGTTTTTTTTAGATCTATGCTTATAAAATAGTCTTATAAACCAGGGTAAAGTATATTCTTATAAACCAGGTTAAAGATGTTGCTGCACAGAAGGGTGAGAATTCCCAGAATATCTTTACATAATATATTTCTTACATTCTTGTATATAGGTGCGTTTTTTTTAGATCTATGCTTATAAAATAGTCTTATAAACCAGGGTAAAGTACATTCTTATAAACCAGGTTAAAGATGTTGCTGCACAGAAGGGTGAGAATTCCCAGAATATCTTTACATAATATATTTTTACATTCTTGTATATAGGTGCGTTTTTTTTAGATCTATGCTTATAAAATAGTCTTATAAACCAGGGTAAAGATGTTGCTGCACAGAAGGGTGAGAATTCCCAGAATATCTTTACATAATATATTTTTACATTCTTGTATATAGGTGCGTTTTTTTTTAGATCTATGCTTATAAAATAGTCTTATAAACCAGGGTAAAGTACATTCTTATAAACCAGGTAAAGATGTTGCTGCACAGAAGGGTGAGAATTCCCAGAATATCTTTACATAATATATTTTACATTCTTGTATATAGGTGCGTTTTTTTTTTTTAGATCTATGCTTATAAAATAGTCTTATAAACCAGGGTAAAGTACATTCTTATAAAACCAGGTTAAAGATGTTGCTGCACAGAAGGGTGAGAATTCCCAGAATATCTTTACATAATATATTTTTACATTCTTGTTATAGGTGCGTTTTTTTTAGATCTATGCTTATAAAATAGTCTTATAAACCAGGGTAAAGTACATTCTTATAAACCAGGTTAAAGATGTTGCTGCACAGAAGGGTGAGAATTCCCAGAATATCTTTACATAATATATTTTTACATTCTTGTATATAGGTGCGTTTTTTTTTAGATCTATGCTTATAAAATAGTCTTATAAACCAGGGTAAAGTACATTCTTATAAACCAGGTTAAAGATGTTGCTGCACAGAAGGCTTGAGAATTCCCAGAATATCTTTACATAATATATTTTTACATTCTTGTATATAGGTGCGTTTTTTTTTAGATCTATGCTTATAAAATGTCTTATAAACAGGGTAAAGTACATTCTTATAAACCAGGTTAAAGATGTTGCTGCACAGAAGGGTGAGAATTCCCAGAATATCTTTACATAATATATTTTTACATTCTTGTATATAGGTGCGTTTTTTTAGATCTATGCTATAAGACTTATAAAATAGTCTTATAAACCAGGGTAAAGTACATTCTTATAAACCAGGTTAAAGATGTTGCTGCACAGAAGGGTGAGAATTCCCAGAATATCTTTACATAATATTTTACATTCTGTATATAGGTGCGTTTTTTTAGATCTATGCTTATAAAATAGTCTTATAAACCAGGGTAAAGTACATTCTTATAAACCAGGTTAAAGATGTTGCTGCACAGAAGGTGAGAATTCCCAGAATATCTTTACATAATATATTTTTACATTCTTGTATATAGGTGCGTTTTTTTTTTTTTTTTAGATCTATGCTTATATAAAATAGTCTTATAAACCAGGGTAAAGTACATTCTTATAAACCAGGTTGTAAAGATGTTGCTGCACAGCCAGAAGGGTGAGAATTCCCAGAATATCTTTACATAATATATTTTTACATTCTTGTATATAGGTGCGCTTTTTTTTTAGATCTATGCTTATAAAATAGTCTTATAAAACCAGGGTAAAGTACATTCTTATAAACCAGGGTAAAGATGTTGCTGCACAGAAGGGTGAGAATTCCCAGAATATCTTTACATAATATATTTTTACATTCTTGTATATAGGTGCGTTTTTTTTTTAGATCTATGCTTATAAAATAGTCTTATAAACCAGGGTAAAGTACATTCTTATAAACCAGGTTAAAGATGTTGCTGCACAGAAGGGTGAGAATTCCCAGAATATCTTTACATAATATATTTTTACATTCTTGTATATAGGTGCGTTTTTTTTTAGATCTATGCTTATAAAATAGTCTTATAAACCAGGGTAAAGTACATTCTTATAAAACCAGGTTAAAAGATGTTGCTGCACAGAAGGGTGAGAATTCCCAGAATATCTTTACATAATATATTTTTACATTCTTGTATATAGGTGCGTTTTTTTTAGATCTATGCTTATAAAAATAGTCTTATAAACCAGGGTAAAGTACATTCTTATAAACCAGGTTAAAGATGTTGCTGCACAGAAGGGTGAGTGAGAATTCCCAGAATATCTTTACATAATATATTTTACATTCTTGTATATAGGTGCGTTTTTTTTTAGATCTATGCTTATAAAATAGTCTTATAAACCAGGGGGTAAAGTACATTCTTTATAAACCAGGTTAAAGATGTTGCTGCACAGAAGGGTGAGAATTCCCAGAATATCTTTACATAATATATTTTTACATTCTTGTATATAGGTGCGTTTTTTTTTAGATCTATGCTTATAAAATAGTCTTATAAACCAGGGTAAAGTACATTCTTATAAACCAGTAAAGTTCTTTTAAACCAGTTAAGATGTTGCTGCACACAAGGGTGAGAATTCCCAGAATATCTTTACATAATATATTTTTACATTCTTGTATATAGGTGCGTTTTTTTTTAGATCTATGCTTATAAAATAGTCTTATAAACCAGGGTAAAGTACATTCTTATAAACCAGGTTAAAGATGTTGCTGCACAGAAGGGTGAGAATTCCCAGAATATCTTTACATAATATATTTTTACATTCTTGTATATAGGTGCGTTTTTTTTAGATCTATGCTTATAAAATAGTCTTATAAACCAGGGTAAAGTACATTCTTATAAAACCAGGGTAAAGATGTTGCTGCACAGAAGGGTGAGAATTCCCAGAATATCTTTACATAATATATTTTTACATTCTTGTATATAGGTGCGTTTTTTTTTAGATCTATGCTTATAAAATAGTCTTATAAACCAGGGTAGGGTAAAGTACATTCTTATAAACCAGGGTTAAAGATGTTGCTGCACAGAAGGGTGAGAATTCCCAGAATATCTTTACATAATATATTTTTACATTCTTGTATATAGGTGCGTTTTTTTTTTAGATCTATGCTTATAAAATAGTCTTATAAACCAGGGTAAAGTACATTCTTATAAACCAGGGTAAAGATGTTGCTGCACAGAAGGGTGAGAATTCCCAGAATATCTTTACATAATATATTTTTACATTCTTGTATATAGGTGCGTTTTTTTTAGATCTATGCTTATAAAATAGTCTTATAAACCAGGGTTAAAGATGTTGCTGCACAGAAGGGTGAGAATTCCCAGAATATCTTTACATAATATATTTTTACATTCTTGTATATAGGTGCGTTTTTTTTTAGATCTATGCTTATAAAATAGTCTTATAAACCAGGGTAAAGTACATTCTTATAAACCAGGTTAAAGATGTTGCTGCACAGAAGGGTGAGAATTCCCAGAATATCTTTACATAATATATTTTTACATTCTTGTATATAGGTGCGTTTTTTTTAGATCTATGCTTATAAAATAGTCTTATAAACCAGGGTAAAGTACATTCTTATAAACCAGGGTAAAGATGTTGCTGCACAGAAGGGTGAGAATTCCCAGAATATCTTTACATAATATATTTTTACATTCTTGTATATAGGTGCGTTTTTTTTTTTAGATCTATGCTTATAAAAATAGTCTTATAAACCAGGGGTAAAGTACATTCTTATAAACCAGGTTAAAGATGTTGCTGCACAGAAGGGTGAGAATTCCCAGAATATCTTTACATAATATATTTTTACATTCTTGTATATAGGTGCGTTTTTTTTTTAGATCTATGCTTATAAAATAGTCTTATAAACCAGGGTAAAGTACATTCTTATAAACCAGGTTAAAAATGTTGCTGCACAGAAGGGTGAGAATTCCCAGAATATCTTTACATAATATATTTTTACATTCTTGTATATAGGTGCGTTTTTTTTAGATCTATGCTTATAAAATAGTCTTATAAACCAGGGTAAAGTACATTCTTATAAACCAGGTTAAAAGATGTTGCTGCACAGAAGGGTGAGAATTCCCAGAATATCTTTACATAATATATTTTACATTCTTGTATATAGGTGCGTTTTTTTTAGATCTATGCTTATAAAATAGTTATAGTATTATAAACCAGGGTAAAGTACATTCTTATAAACCAGGGTTAAAGATGTTGCTGCACAGAAGGGTGAGAATTCCCAGAATATCTTTACATAATATATTTTTACATTCTTGTATATAGGTGCGTTTTTTTAGATCTATGCTTATAAAATAGTCTTATAAACCAGGGTAAAGACATTCTTTAACCAGGTAAAGATGTTGCTGCACAGAAGGGTGAGAATTCCCAGAATATCTTTACATAATATATTTTTACATTCTTGTATATAGGTGCGTTTTTTTTAGATCTATGCTTATAAAATAGTCTTATAAACCAGGGTAAAGTACATTCTTATAAACCAGGTAAAGATGTTGCTGCACAGAAGGGTGAGAATTCCCAGAATATCTTTACATAATATATTTTTACATTCTTGTATATAGGTGCGTTTTTTTTAGATCTATGCTTATAAAATAGTCTTATAAACCAGGGTAAAGTACATTCTTATAAACCAGGGTAAATTACATTCTTATAAACCAAGTTAAAGATGTTGCTGCACAGAAGGGTGAGAATTCCCAGAATATCTTTACATAATATATTTTTACATTCTTGTATATAGGTGCGTTTTTTTTTAGAGATCTATGCTATTATAAAATAGTCATATAAACCAGGGTAAAGTACATTCTTATAAACCAGGTTAAAGATGTTGCTGCACAGAAGGGTGAGAATTCCCAGAATATCTTTACATAATATATTTTTACATTCTTGTATATAGGTGCGTTTTTTTTAGATCTATGCTTATAAAATAGTCTTATAAACCAGGGTAAAGTAC